TGCCCTGGGGGTGGGGCCAGCAGGGCAGGCCTGGGGGATCAAACTCCTGGCCCCTGCCCCTGCGCCTGCTCTTGCTTGCAGGAGCTCTAATCCACTGAGCTATTTGGCCATTGACTATGTTTCTTTAAAATCTGCTCTAGTCAGTTACCAAAAATGATCATTTTCTTCCCCATTGGTCCTGCTGAGATGAAAAAAAACAAGTGTGGGGTCTTGGCTTGTGGATATAGAATTAGTTTTGTTCTGTTTTTGACACTGGGGATTGAACTCAGGGCCTCTGTACTGACTACATCTCAAGCCCTCTTTATTTTTATTTTGAGGCAGCATCGCACTAAGTTGCCCAAATAGGCTCTCACTTGGTCATCTTCCTGCCTCAGCCTCCCAGAGTACAGAGATTACAAGCCTGTGCCAGCCTATTTTGTTTGAAAAGAGGTTCTCACTTGTTTCCCAGGATGATCTCAAACTTATGAGTAGCTGGGATTACAGGTGTGTACCACTGTATCCAGAATGTTTTTTGACTGCTAGTTCCAAATGATCTTATTTTTATAAAACACAAACTGTAAACACAGTAATCAGATCCCCAGTGAATGCTTGAAACCTGGGACAGTACTCAACCCTGTATGTAGTTTTTTTTTCCTCTACCTATATACTTATGGTAAAACCTAATGAAGTAGACACAGTAAGAGATTGACAACAATAACTAAAAACAAAACATAATTACTTGTATAACAATACACTGTAATAAATTTACTAGCTATCACTATTCTTATACATTAGGGTATTTTTCCTTTAAAAGATAGGCAGGAGCTAGAGAGACAGCTCAGTAGTCTAAGCCACTGCCTGGCAAACAGAAGGACCTGGGTTCAGTCCTCGGTACTGCATGCCATGCTGGCCCCCAAACTATGTGTGGTGGCACACCCCTGTAATCCCAGCATTGGGGAGGCTGGGATAGGAGGATCACTATGAGTCCAAGCTGCATAGTGAGACTCTGTACCAAATGAATAAGTAAATAAAAAGTTTTAATTTTTTTTTTTTTTTTAATGAGGCAGGGGGCCAGGGATATAGCTCAGTGCCTGCCTTGCAAGTACAAGGTCCTGAGTTTTGATTCCTGGTGAAAAAAAAAAAAAATCAGATAGCAGCCAGGCATGGTGGTGTATGCCTATAATCCCAAGGCTGAGGCAGGAGGATCTTTGTGACTTCAAGATCAGCCTGGAGCTCAAGGCCAGCCTGAACTGCATAAAGAGACCTTGTCTCAAAAAAGACAAAAAAAAAAAAAAAAAAAAAAAAAAAAAAAAAAAAAAAAAAAAAAAAGAAAAAAGAAAGGCAGGGAACTGGGCATGGTGCCCTACACCTGCATTCCCAGCACTTGAGTGGTTGAGGCAGTAGCCTCAGGTTTGAAATCAGGCTGGGCTATGTAATGAGTTCAAGGCCAGCCTGAACTACATAGCAAGATGCTGTCTCAAACAAAACAAAACAAAACAAAACAAAAACCCCTATCTGTCCATCTATTATCTATCTATCCTATCTATATATGTCATCTATCTCAAGGTCTTACTGTTTGCTCAGGCTGCCCCTTAAGCTCCTGAGCGCAACTGCTCCTCCCACCTCAGCCTTCCAAGTAGTAGTGGGGACAACAGGCATGTGCCATATCACGCAGCTTCAGGGCTATATTAAGGAAAACAGGTTACTTGAATGTAGGCACTACAGCACCATGCATTTGACTGATAACCAGGACGTGCAACCTGGTAGCATAGCACAGACCAAGGAATGATTCCGCAGGACGGACTAGCACACGAGGTGGTGTGCAATTTAGAACTTACGAAGTATTTCTAGAGTGTGACAGTGAGTGACTGAGACCAAAGCTAGGAGGATGACTGTGATGTCAGCAGACTGGAGAAGAGCTTCAGTAACCAGCAGAGTACTGCAGGGGATGACAGACTTCGAGCAGAACTTATTTGAAGGAAGCAGGTACCATGGCACTCTGGGAGGAAGGGAGGGGCTGTGCAAAGCCCAGTACCACGCAGTGCACCCCAGCCAGGCCTAGGGATGAGCAGGGCCTGCACTAGTGAGTGTGGCCGTGCTGACTGCAGAGGCTGGACTGGGCGGGCCCAATCCCTCAGGGGAGGAAATTGCCCTGCTTGGTTGCTGAAATCCAGTACCTCCCTCCCTCACCAAAGCAAAACACATTAGTGTTAATAAAATCTCATTCTTACTCTTTGAAACAGCCAGGCCCCATAGTGAGTCACTTCCTCTGTTTCAGCTTGTCATCTAGGTGAAAGTCATGCAGATTTCATTTTAAATGTATGTTCTATACAAAAGATAGTCTACTCTAAGTGACAGATACCTCAGGCAATACCCACAACCTGAAGATGCACTAGGTGGAATGATTAGGCTAATGTGCTTTCCTGTTTACTCGGGGCCAGACACTGTCCTGGGTGAGTGCTTTATCCACAGTGTTGGGTCCTCACAGTCACCCCTACAGCTCTGCAAGTCAAAGGGGCTCTGTGAGTGTGTCTCATGTGTGAGAAGCTGGCAGTTCCTGCACTTAGCTTGACTTATGCGTTGTAGCAGGGGGTGGGGGTGGCATGCACCCCTGATCCCAGCACTCGGGGACTCTAGCAGGAAGATCTCAAGTTCAACTCTGGCTTGGGCAATTTAGCTAGACCCTATCTGAAAGTAAAGAACAGAAACAGATGGGGATGTAGCTCAGGGCAGAGGCCCAGAGTTCAGTGTGCGCCCCCCCCATACCAAAAAGCAAAGAAAGATTGTGGTTTATCCACAGCTGTCTCCCAGGAGCTCCGTGTCTGGAACCAGGCGAGCATTCACTGGATATTTAGTTAGCTGGCTCTCTGTTGCTACAACAAAATGCCTCAGATAATTAACTTCTAAGAGAAAGGTTTATTTTGGCTCACAGCTCTTAAGTGCCAGTCCAGGTCAAGCAGGCCAGGTGGCAAAGCAGAACTTTCTACACCACAAGCCAGGGAGTAAACAGAGAAGGAGGAGTCAAGGCCCCACAGTCTTCTTTAAGGACACAGCCTTGGTGAACTAAAGACCCCACTCGGAGTGGGCTCCTCCTTGAGGTCACAGGCGGGCCTTTAGGAGGACATTCATCAGCTGCACTGTGGGCTGTCAGTGGAGTCAGTGGGAGAGCACTTCCCAAGGGCTACAGGTTCAAGCTTTGGCACAGGAAGGTAATAAATCAAGCAAGCACAAGCCAAGCAAGTAAACAGAAACCCCAAACTAGAGCAGACATTACTAAATGGATGAATACTCCTTTCAGAGAAAAAGCACAAACGTTGCCTTTCTAGCTGTTAAAATGAGAAGCTAGTTTCTTCCACTGGAAGTGTGCTACCTTTAACAAGGTGAATTTAGGTAACACAAGAGTAAAATAGGGACTTTTCCCCTTTGCAAATGGTCTCCTTCATCACCATCTCCTTGAACATCGGTATGTTTGAGGAGGAGCCTGAGAATGTTACACGGCGTCAGCAGCTGCAGTGAAACGAGTATTCAAATCACTGGTTCAAGGCAGTTTTTTCTTTTTCTTCAGTTTTTCTTTTTAATCTATGGATTTTTGTTGTTATTAACCTTCTGTTTCCTGGATGGGAATATATTCTAGATATACCACTATCTGGAATACCACCCCCCTGCCAAAGTCTGGACAAGTAAGAAACAGAACAATCTACAATATCACTTTATGTTTGGATTTTTTAAAAAAAATTTTGTTAGTCTGGACTTCGTGCAGTGATACATTTTTCATGAACACCTCTCACCAACATTTAGTAGATGGAAGTGCTCGAACTCTTGTCCTAATCAAACTCAGGCTGTCAGTCACTAACACTACATTATTTCTGTGTAAATGAAGCTTAGGAGTAAAACACATATAAATGAAGGACATTTCTTGGATTGGTTGGTGGTGTTAAAAGGGTAAAGAAGCTTGAGTTTACATGAGTAATCTTCACCAAAAAGAAAGAAAATAAAAAACTGATGAATTTAAATCTCAAACACAAAATTAAGATAAACATTTCCAAATATTGAAAAATAAATGTAGTAAAATTTCTCTGGTATTTGTGTCTTGTACGCTGAGTAAGGATAACAGCATTCATATTGTTATTCTTATATTTTGTTATGAAATTTTGTTTTGCTTTTTTTCATTAAAATGATCTATAAATATTGTTTCCTCTAAAAATCAGTTTGAGGTTGGGTTGGGCATAGCTCAATGGCAGGGTGTGTGCTTAGCATGCACAGGGTCCTGGGTTTAATCTTTCACACTAAAAACAATAACAACACCCACCTAGCTGAGAGAAATGCACAGAGCCAATATATCTTTCATCTATAATTCTTTTAATGGTGTAAAAATAGCATCTTTTACAAATAATTATGTTCAGGGACAGACAGAGGATTTAGCTCAAAGTGTAGTATATAAAATGCCTCAGTGCCTCTGGAAATTCTGAATTGGCCTTGGCCTTTTTTGTCATATTTGATTTGATCTAAGGGTTCTTAAAACTAAGCCAATACTTGCTTAGATTCTTCCTGAGAATTGGCAAAGATGTTGTATTCCACTTCTTGTCCACAAATCGACCCCAGTGGCTTTCAAAAGTGAAAGCACACACACTCACACATAATTTAAATTGTCTTACATCTGAGATGATGTATGTACTCATGAGTACGACTTGACTTCCTGGATTCTCAGGAGCCGCAGTGCTCCTCTGGCCCCACCTGACACGGCGCGCCTTGGCAGGCTGGAGTCCGGGGAGTGCTTGCGTGGGTGGCAGCCACACAACTGCCAGCGCTCCGAGGCCCAGGGCAGGGCTGGCTGAAGAGTTCATCTGAGATTTCCCACTATGCATCCGAAAAATACTCAAGGCAAACTGAATGTTTCTAATCGCTTATATGTCTAGTAAATTTTAAAAACGTTTATTTGTCCCAAATTGCTAATGTAATTTCTGCCTCTATGCAAAACAATTGAATAAAAATGCCATATGAAATGTTTACATTTTTTCAAAACGACTTTTTAAAAAGCTTACATCTATAAAGTCTCGCAGGAGCACCTAGGCGGCAGGGGGCTCAGAACGACACGTTTTCCAGAGCCGGTTGGTCCTGCAGCGCCACCCACGCCGCGCTGCGCTGGGTCCGTGGCCGGCAGCTCCCTGCCCACTGATTTAGTAATCGCACGCCCTCGATTCCAGCTCCACCAGAAGGGGAGCCGGAGCTGTCCATCGGCGCGCTGCCCCAGGCCGAGCTGCTCCCAGCCGGGCTCCTCCCGGCGCGGGGAGGTCAGCGGGCAGGCGGCCGGCGCTCAGGGGCGGCGCGGCTCGGGGCCCCGCGGCAGCTCGGCGTCCCGCTTGTCCAGGCTGGAGTTGAGGCCGGCCGAGTCCTTCTCGAGCGCCGGCACGCACGTGCAGCCCACGGGCACCGGGACGTAGGCCTCGGTGTAGACGGCGCGGCCGCCCGCGCAGGCCGAGGTGCGCCGCAGGACCACGGCGGGCGAGAACACCGGCGCGCTTCGGAAGCGGAAGTCCTCGGTCCCCGAGGGCCCGGTCAGGCAGCCCCGGCACAGGCAGTAGGCCTCGGGGAGGTACCGCGGGAACCGCGCGGGGTCGTAGGAGATCCTGCGGGAGACAGTGGGGTTAGTGCACACACAGAGCCTGTGCCGAGGATCCGAGGATTTGCCTTTGAGGCCAAGGAAGTGGGGCTGGAGCAAAGAAGTTTGAGATCATCAAACTGGAACGGGGCAGGGCGTCGGGCTGATGGTTCCTCCCAGGCTATGTCTATTTGAGACCCTGACCTCAAAGATACCAGAGAACTGGACTTTATTTGAAATATTGAGGACAGCATTTACAGCTGCCCTTGTTGTAATTTGTACAGGGTGGATCCCACCCTGCATTTGTAGAAATGGAAGTAGAAAAACAAAGTCTAGGCAGCCTGCACACAGTAGCTTCAAGAATGAGCCCCTCTAGCCTGGTAGGGGTTCAGGTGGTTTCAGGATGGGGACCAAGGACAGGTGAAGTGGCTGGCTTGGGTGCGGCACAGCAGGCCTGGCCACCTGGTTGCTGATGCACCACCACAAGCAGACAGCTGCAGGAAGCCCGTGGAGAAGGCCAGGAGGTGACCACACCCATCACCTCGAACTGGGGTTCACACGCTGGCTTTTTCTTGTTGCTGAGACAAAATACTCAACACCCAAAGTTAAAGGACAAAAGGTTTATTAAACAGTTTGTAAAGGTTATAGTTCACAGTTGGCTGACTCCACGGTAGAGTGGCACATGGTAGAGGGGAACTGTAGAGGAGGAACCGTCCACAGCAAGCAGGCAGACTGAGAGCATGTTGGCCCTCTTTTTGTCCATTATACTTTAGGCAGGTTCCCTGCTCAAGAGTGGTGTAGCACTCATACCCTTAATCTTCCCCAGAACTATGCCAAACCCACCATGAATCACACACCCTTGATTCCTGCACCACACACTCACGAGGGTATAGACTTTGGGCTGGATCTAAAGTGTGTGGTACTGGGGTCAAGGGTGTGTGAGGATCAGACACAATATAGTGCTCTACTTATGTACAATAATGTTGAGTGCCTGAGCAGAGGATGAGTCCTGAAGATACATGTAGCTTGTTTGGATGAAGCTAAGCTGTTGGTGTAGTCAGGGTTTAAAGGAAAACAATACAGGACAAATTATTTATAGGATTATTTCACAGCAGTCACCTGAAGAATCAAGTACAAAGGAGTGCAGAAAATCTGTCCGCACACTAAGAACCCGAAGAATCCAACTGAGGGTCTGGATCCCACAGCAGTGTCCTGCAGGAGTCCAGCTGAAGACCTACAGCCCATCTCAATGCCTGTCACAAGTCCAGCTGGAGGCCAAGAGCCCAAGACAATTCTCATGCAAGTCTGAATCAAGGATCTGCACTGGGAAGGCCCAAAGATCAGTAGTGGAAACTAGAAAATCTATGCCAGCAGGATATGAAGGATCTGTGCTAGCAAGCTGGGGAGATCTAATTGGAGCCAGGAAGCAATGCTCAAAGTAAAGACCAGAGCTCCCCAAAGTGAACTGTAGCTATTTTCAGCAGAGAAAAGGCCCCAAGTTCCTCTGATGATGCGACTAGCTGAGTTCACATCAGGAAAGCCAGCGTGACAAGCCCCTCCAGGAGAACCAACAGCTCTCTAACACCTCTTCTCTAGTTCTCCTTTTTATTTTGTTGGCAACAATCCTCAGGTGGGCCTCCCATACCCAGCACTACACTGATTCACTTCAGTTGGGTGTTACAAATTGACCATTAGTAGTCAATCCACCACAGCTGTTTATGAATGAAAACGGGCAAGAATATCCACAGCTCACTTAGATGGCCTGAACAACCTCATGTTTTTTTTTTTTTTTTTAAATCTTTACAGATTTTATACTGCACTTGAACGTATTGGACAACAAACTACAAGGTATAGGGAAAACAGCAGATAGGATGTTTTGTGATATCAAAACATCTGAGAGAAAAATATAGGCTTTGTAAAGAAACCTTGAATGTGCGCAGAGGAAATGTTCTCCTAATCTAAAAATGCCTCAGGTAATTCCGCAATATTTGCAGACAACCCTACAAGCCATTGGGAAACCTTCAGGGAATTTTCTAGCATTGTACTAGCTGCAAAGAAGAATTTTAGTATCAGACTTTTATAGTTCTCTAAGATGGAGACAATCCTGTGTTTTCTTCTCCAGAAAAACCTGGATTTAAAGAACTTGATCTTTCCTGCCTATATTGGTTAGATTTTGGAAATCGGGGAATGGAACTGTAGGAATTTCAAGAAAGCTCTATCAGAAAAATAAATTCCATACCCACATGCAGCACTTGAGAAGAGAGAAGATAGAGCCTGGAGGGACGAAGAAGGACAGCACGGTTGGTGCTGAAAATGAAAATGAAGTCCTTAAAGTGTGGAATTCTCTGCCAAATCACTTCAAGTCAGCAAAAGCACTTGGGCTCACTTTTCTTATTTCGTTTGCATCATCTTCTGCTTGTGAGCAGCTGTTTTCAGCTCTGAATTATATCAAATCTGATACAAGACACAGACCCACAGATGACCTGAGCGCTGCATGTGTTGCTTTCAAACTAATGCAGTGTGAGCCAAGGTTTGACAAATCAGCACACGAAGGACAGCAGAGAGCACACTAACAGTGCAAAAGCGCAGCAAATGCGAACTTATTAGTATCGTTGAAAGCTCTATTATTGCGCTTTTCTTTCAAGATAATGGATGTTAAAGTATGAACTGTTTTTTCTAAACTAAAACCTCAGTATTCAGACTCAGTTGTAGTTGTTAGCACTCTGATAAACAAGTGGGTTTTGGCTTGCAGTTTAGATACTTGGTCTCTAAAAGGTTTGCCATTATTGGTTTAAACTTAAGTCAACTTTATTTTCCTCCTTTTCTTCCTATTCTCTGGTCAGATGCTAAGAGGCCAGTACCAGCAGCCCCAGAAAAGCTTGGGACAGGTTCCAGGGAGCCAGCTGAACCATGCAGCTCCCAGGAGGAGGTGGAAACAACCCTAGGCCACAGCCCATGCTCCACACATCACCCCACATAGTGCTGCAAAGCCAAAGGGCCCAGGACCTCTCTGAATGTCTCTTCACAGAAGGGAACACTGTTCTCATTTCTTATAGGACTGCGCTGACTCCAAATGCTTGTTTCCATTACATTGTAATGTAAATATAAACAATCCTGTCTTGAGTATGTGTCTCTTTTTTCTGGGGTGGACTCATACACATCCTAAAGTTCCAGCATCACAGGATCAATTCTCTTCTCTGTTCAGCATCTAAGATCAACAATATCCGATGAGAAAGGGGTGGGCTGAGGGTAGGAGGATTGCCAGGAGGCTTGCAAGTGTAAGCTCAGCCCCTTGACAACTCAGTGATTTCTTATTTATTTATTTCGTACAGGGTTCAACTCCTGTTACACATTCAGCAGAGAGGATAGAGCCCAGGACCTAAGCCAGAATCTCATAAATCTGGGGCAGGACCAGACTACAATAAGCAAACATTGCCTCTGGAGAAAAGGGTTTGTTCACTTAATGCTTCTCTCTTAACATACAAGTAGGTGAAACATATTTTTAAGTTCTTCATCGCTACTGTTCCCTCAGTTCTTCCCTCAGGGCCTCCAGAAGCATAACAAGCCTGATATAACCTCGTCAGAACTCAGTGCACCATCCCCGTCACTGTTCTTCCCTGCCCACCTGCCAACTGCACGTACCAAGGTGCAGCCCTCATAAAACCCAAAACCTCAGCTTGGCCTTCCTAAACCTGTAGATGGGCCCTCACCCTCTCCCCTTCCTGTCTCCTGGCATCCTACACTCTGAGCAGCCCACAGGAATGCTCCTCACAGGCCCACAGTGGAGCTCCGCTCAAGGTCCTTTTCTTCCCCAAATCAGTATCAATTCAGTACAGTCTCACTGTTTTATGATCGCTACTGTAAGGGGTTTCAAATGCCTTCAGAAAAGAATAACTTCTTTCCCCGCAATCTCATGTTGCCTCTGGACAGAACTGCACATTCTCTGTGCCTGCCCTGGCCATGTGGTCATTCCTCCTCCTGCCTGCAGGGCACATCCGGGTGTCTCTGCAGAGGAGCTCAGGAGCCAAAAGCAGGGATGGTGAAGCGTGCTGTCTTAGCTCCTTGCAACCTGCAGTTAATTTAATATCCTAATGTGCGAGCCAAAGGAGAAGAAAATCCTAAATAGTTGGAACTTATATTTTCTCCAGTTGCTTCAACATTCATCCAAGCAGTATCTGGGTGCTATTTTAGGTAATGGGGAAACAGAACACCTATCTGTTGTTCAAGGAATCATGATTTAAGGAGAGACACAGACAAATAGAGCCTGAACAGCCATGAGAGGATTCATGGCACAATTGGTTCTTGGCTGGGTTTAACAAGATGCGGAAAGGAGAAAGGTCATGAGGGCTGGAAGTCAAACCACCAGCTGAGGAACACAGCGCAGCTATAAGTGCAAGTCAAGAAGAGGGCAGAGGGGAGATCTTTGCCCACATCAGGAACACACATCCATAGTCAGGAATTTGGATCTGACCCTGATGGCAAAAAGATGGGTGACAGAGAGAGAAGTGACCCCATCAGATGGAACTCAGGGACGATCTCTGCATGTTTTAGTCACTTCCCTTGTCGCTGAGATACCGTATTCAACATCCACAACTTAAAGGAGGTGAGGTGTGTTTCAGTTCAGTTTTTAGAGGATTCAGTCTATAGTCAGCTGGCTCCAAGGCTGGATGGAGGAGAGCTACTCATGTCATGACAGCCAGGAAGTAGAGACAGAGGGGAGGAGCCAGGGGGGAGATGCACCTTCCCAGATCACCCCTGGGACCCCCCTCAAACTAGGCTGCCCTTCCCGCAGTACATCAGCTATGACCAGCGGGCAAATTGGCTGTGTACAGTGTCCCCATGATCCAAGTACCTTCCACACACATGAGGCTCTGTGGTGAACCTCATTCACCAAAACCATAGCAGTGCAGGTTTGAAGAGCTGAGGCCTAAGAGGAAAATCTTGGCTGGAGGTAAAGTTTTGAATTGTGGCTGGTGGTTCAATGTGATAGTTCTGGGGAGCGTGTAAAGGATGAACAACAGAGGGAAAGGACATCAGCTCAGAGGAGAAGAAAGCTGAGTGTAGACACTGGCATCCACAGGTCAAGAAGCTGCATATGAAGCTGATCAGAAACAACTTGAATCAGACTGAAATAGACATTTAGGGATGGAGAATATCTTCTCGGTCCATGTGCTGTCTCCTTAATGAAATGCCTGGGGCTGGGTAGTTTAGAAAGATCAGAGGCTTATTTAGCTCAAGGTTCTGGGGGCCTGGATGAATGTGAGCATAGTGCTGGCCTCTACTCAGCACCAGGAGGGGCTCTGATGCGTGTTACACAGCAGGTGGCAGCACATGGAAAGGCGGAGCCAACGTGCTAGCTCCAGTCTCTTCCCCTCCCTATTATAAAATTACTTATGGAGGTTACGGGTCCATCCTCATGGATCCTAATCACTTCCCAACACCAAACCCCACCTCCAGCTCCACCTCCGACCACCATTAACATGGATTTTGGGGAAGGGCATGATAAACGACACTATGAGACTATGATCAAGGAAACATAAAATGTAGGAAAGTCAAGGCTTTCTCCAGAAGAAATACAAGGGTAGGACTAGGTCAGAGAGGGACACAGCCCCAGGGGCACTGCTGGCCTGGTTTACACTTCTACCCAAGCCTTTGGTTTCAATGATCAACTATATGTTTGATTTAAATATCTATCACATCCATGGGCTGAGGATATAGCTCAGTGGTGTAGTGCCTGCCTGGCAAGTGTGAGGGCCTCAGTATGATTCCTGGTATTAACCAACAAACCAACAAACAGTAACCAAAAAAAAACCCTACTGCACCCAAACTAAGAGACATTCCATAAAACAGCTGATTACCTGAGGCAACACGTGAGCTCGACTGGTTCCTGGAACACAGAAGGGGCATTAGTGGAGCACTCTGAATAAGGTCTGTGGATTAGACATTAACATTCATTTCTTGATCTTGATCAGTTTGCTGATTTACTGTTTTGACATTTCAGAGCATCTGGGTACTGGGCAGGAAGCATGATTTCTCTTGGCTCAATTTCACAGCAGTCTTTGCAGCAGCACCAGACAGACTGGAGGCAGCACACGGATGGCCAGGAGGTGGGAAACTGCTAACCAGTCGCTGCAGCTGGGCTGATGCCTACGCCTGTGAGCTCAGGCATGTGCATGCAAGTGTGACTATATGGATAGGGTGTGTTAGCATGCTTGAGGGCATGTGTGTGTGTGAAAGAGCATATGCAGTGAGTGTGAACGTCAGCAGGTGTGTGCACATATGCGCTGCTGTGATCATGTGATTGTGGGCAGAGTTCTGAGCATGTGTGTGATCATGCACATGGTCTTGGGGTGGAAATCTGGTGAGAAAGCTGAGGTGTGCAGGAACCCTGGGAACCCTCAAAAGGATAAGAGCTGTGGGGAAGGTCACCCCACAGCAGGACAGCTTTGGAGCACTGAAGTGGGGGCTTCAGATCATGCGAAACTTCCTGGACCTCTCTGGTGATGTCAGCTTGACCTCAGGGTGTCATCCTTCCCTGGATTTGCCTTCTCTTCATCCTCTGTCAGGTCTCATCATCCTAGGTGTCCCTGAGGAACAACTAGCATTCTGGTGTCACCCTTGGTACTTTGTAGGTGAAACTGACAGTCCTTCCTGTGTGATGGTCAGAGCCTCATCTAATGAGAACATCCACCACAACCCTCCAGGAGGTCATCGGGAAGGAATGATCTGCAACCCACTTGGGCTAAGGCTTGTGACAAAAACCACCTGCACACACCCTGTACCAGCTCTGCCTGGGGCCAGGGAGATAAAAGGGGGGATGGAAACAGGCAGTTTTCACACCATAGTGTTGCGACCAGGAGGGCTCACTTACAATGGGAAGGTGCTACAAAGGGCAGGTGACACAGTCCAAACCTGTCACCCACAGCTGTGTCATCAGTCCCAGCAGGACCAATGCCGCAAAGGTCAGACTGACAAATTCAGGAGGAAGCTGGAAGGGACCTGAACAAGAGGTCACGAGGAGCGCCAGGTACCTTGGCAGAGCCAGGCACTGACCCTGAGCTCAAGTCCACTCCCTTGCTTCTTGCCTGAGTCTGGGAAATCACCAGCTAGGAGTGCCTTCTGATTAGCGAAAGCTGCCACAGGAAAGAATGGCAATACTGTGGGAAGCTTTCTCTTCCCAGACATGGCAATGCACCCCAGCAAGAATTCTGTGCTGCAGTCTTGCCTCTGTGGGAACAACTGTTCTTTCATTTTCATATTTTCTGCACACTGCTTTGCACAAACTTGGCCCAGGGATACGCTTGAAACACATCAAGTTTTCTCCTCTGATGGGATCTCAGAGAGGCTCTAGGCCACGTGTGAAAGCTGGCTCAAGTGAGTGACAGCTGGCCTGGCTTAATCCAAGAACAAAGCACAAGACCTCCAGGGATGATTAGAGGTGATGGAAACTGAGATCAGGGAGGAATGCAAGTGACAGAAGAGACAGAACACTGCTGCCCCTGGGCCCTGCACATGGTAGGAAACAATTTGAAGCGGTTCCGGAGGACAAACTCAGAGAACAATGAGCACATTCTCAGGACGGATTGCCACCTGATGTGCTCTTCTGATGCCCAAGTATAGCTGGGGCATTTGCTGGCACAAACTCCTTGATGTAACTTGCCCTTCCACGTTGTAAAACATGAAGTCATTTCCATTTCAATGCAGCAGAGGCTGGACATAGTGGCCTCCCTCAAAGGCACCCAAAGACCCCAACCCAGAACCAGAGGAGGGTGACTTCCGGTTTCTAATTGGAAAGACACCAATATACACATGTGAAAGTGGAGAAGAAAATGGCTTCAGCAGTATGGCTTGCCAGCTCCAGAGGCCAGGGACTTAGGCCCAGTGGGAAAGGGTAGGAGAAGCCAATAAGAAGCCTGGAAAGAAGATTTTGATGTGATTTTGTGGTAACCAGAAACTTTGGGTGAATCCCTCTTCCCTGCCTGGTTCTGCAAAGTAGAGAGTGGATTTGTCAACTAGGCTCCTTTCCCCAGTTCCCTGAGAACATTGTTTATATCAATGTTTTATGCTTAGGAAAGACAGTTATAATACATTGGGTCTCAAAGGTCTTGAGAAACTTCTCCCAAATTAGTCTAGTCTATGCAGTCAATGCAATTCTAACCAAAATTCTAGTTAGGATTTCTCTGAGAACTTGGTGACCCGATCCTAAAACTTATAGAGAAAAGAGCTGGGAATAGTCAAGACCTTTTAGAAGGAGTTGCGGACTCAATGCACCAGATAGAAAGGCATCATAAAACTTGAGATGATGAAGAACTGGCAGCACCATGGGGACACCAGGGCACAGGGAGCTTCCTTTGCTCACAGCTCTAATTCTTCTAAAACCTGTTCTTGCAGGAGATAAGGAGCAGTATAAACAAGGTTCCAAGTAGGGTTTTCAGACTACCTGCAGCAGAACTGTGTGGAGCTCTTGGCAAAGGAAAATGATAAATACAGGTGGCGTTGGGATGCTAATTATCCTGATTTGCTCATTATACAATGTACACACGCAGCAAACCAGCACATTGTCCTCAAAAAATCACACGTTAAAAAGCAACGAACAAGTCAGACTCTCAGACTTCACACATACTCCCTGGAAAGCTCTGTGCTAACACACTGCCCCAGGGGACTGCTTTGTCATTCAAATCCTAAATCACTAATGCTCAGGAACCAACTGAAAGCCATTCCCAGCTGCTCTATCAAAGCCACTCCAGGTGACATCCCCACAGGGAGGTGTCCACTGGTTAACCACCTGCACACTGACTGCAACTGACCACAAACAATGGCATATTCCCGAGTACACCTGGGTTACATGACCATCCCTGCTCATGCTGCAAGTCTAACTTGTGCACATCATTATTAAGAATTAGCACTGTCAATGCAATGGCTTTGGGACACCAGTTTTTCTACACTGGGGGCACAAACATGAGTTCAAAAAAATAGTGATGCTCTTTCCCCCCATCCCTAGGGATTCTGAATGAATGGCTCTGGAATACAGCCAGCATGTTGGCTTTTTTTGCTGCACTCCAGATAATTCTCTTAAGACTTCTAGATAATTCTGTGGAGACCATTGCCCTCCGCAGTTAAGAGAAGTAATAGGTCAAAAAAAACTGGGATCGGAGGATGAGGGGTGTAGCTCAGCAGTACAGCCCTTGGCTGGCATGTGCGAGGCCCTGGGTTTCGACCCTAGCATTGAGAAAAACAAACCAAAAAAGATACCTGTTTGTGTGACCCTCCAATCACTCATTTACCTGTTGCTCGAGGGAAGTTCACGAGCATCTGTGTCATGGGCCTGTGGGCTGACGGGGTTAGTGGGGACACTGGAGGCCACAGAGCTTTCCTCTGTGGAGAAGCTGTGGCCACAGGCCCATTGCCTTCACCCTCCTTCCATTTGCTAAGGCCCAAGCAAGCCAAAGAGCGTGCTACATGCTGCCAAACAGCTCTGAAAAATGCTCTCTGGCCTCAACAAGAACACATCAGTTGTGCATTTATCCCAAGAGAGGACATGGAAAAATTGGCCAGGGATTGCCATGGGCCTGACCTGGGCACAGATCCCAGGAGCTTCAGACCTGGCCAAGGAGATCTAGAGGTCAGTCCTGCTCTGCTAGGGACTGCCATCCTAAACTGAGCTCTGGGGCTAGGCCTGAAGCTGAGCCAGTGAGGCGGCTCCTGAACGAACTCAGCTTTCTGCCAACGAGCCAGCTCAGAGCCGCTAGGAGCTAGAAGGCTCAGTTTGCTTGTCTTCCCTTGTCACTCATGAGGAGAAATGGAGGCACTGCCAGGTCAGGGGGCTTGTCCAAAGTCTCCAGGTCACCTGCAGCATGAGCTAGGTGAGCTGCACAGAACTAAGACTCCGCTCTGGAGTTGGTGGGAAATTAACAGCCAGCCAGGTGCCGGCAAAAAGTGAAGGCACAACTGGGAAATCCATTCAGTGTGAAATCTGCTCAACAAGAAGGCTGGGGAAGCAGAAAGGCTTTGAAGAAAAAGCTGAAGCTTACTGTGTGGGAAGTATAGTTTTACAGAAGGAAGTAGAGAAAGAGAAATGAACTCGCACCCAGATTTTTCAAAGGCTTGTATTCTTTTGCCTGTGGAGATAACATATATTCAGAGCAGCTGGGCACCTCTTTAAAGGAAAAACACAACACATGCCCACAGGGTGGCTTAGCTCTCCATGGGGAGGCTGCAGAATGCGGGCTCTGGGCCATCTCTGATGTGTCTGTCCTTGGGGGGTGTGCACTGGGGAGGAGTCCACCTGGTGGCCAGTGTGACAGCTGCCCCCCCTGGGCAGGCAGGAGGGAAGGTCACCTCCACTTTAGCCTAGCCTCTTTAACACCAGAGAGTTGCTGGTGTTTAGCCACTTAATAACTTAGGGAGCAATGTCCTTCATCCTTTTCATGTGTCCTCTCTGGAAGACAGACACCAAAAGGAATGCCACTTCGTGGATGTGTGGAACTTCCTGCATTTGCCCAAATCCTTCTGTTGGCACGGAGGGCACCCGCATTTTATTCAGGTGAGGCATGCTGAATGAAATATTGCTCGGGGGATGCAATGCTGTCATTCTCCCTGGCTGCTCTCTAGATGCTAAAGTACAGCCCAGCCCCGGAGAAGCCTATCAAAGCAAGACGATGATCCCGTTACAGTGCTCCATGACAATGCTCTTATTTTTACTCTGTGAAACAGTGATAGGCTCAGCAGAGCCGGCTGTATTTTGAGAAGCGCTCGGGGGGTAAGGTCTGTGGTACTCTGGCTAATTCAAGGTCATGTATCCTTAAAAATACCTTTGGATGGGGGAAAATTCCGCATGTCTCCCTTTCCATAGCCATGAATGGACATAAGCAATGTCCTTGTCTGGCAGAGGCAGCAACTCCCAGGCGGCCCAGTCCATTGTAGTTCTGTGCTCTCTTCCACCACTTTTGCTATCTCTTCCTTTTTTTTTTTTTTTTCTTAACACAGCAGCATCATCAGAAGATGGCACAGAAAGGACACAGTGCCCGTGCTAATCGGGTAGTACACATATATCAGATATGGCACACAGTTATACTGTTACAGGAATATAAAGGTTAGCGGTGGGACCAGAACAGAAACAGTTACCTTACAATGAAAGCACATTATTATTATTATTTTATGTATTAAAGGCACCTCCCTCCTCCAGTTCCACAGACCCAAGGGCTGGGTCGACAGGGATGCTGGCTCTGTGCTGCCCCCTATCGGCCACAGTGGCCGCTGTGAATGCCTGAGCCAGCATGGGATGGAGCTCGGGGGCCCACTGGGGAGGGGCACCTGGGAGCTTCGCAGTCTCTGAGGACCCTTTGTTCTTAGTGCTGGCACAGGGAAGTGAAAGTGTATGGAGGGGAGAGTGCACACAAAAAGATAAAGGGAAATATTTTTAAAGGACACTTAGTCACAGTGGGGCTTTCTCTGAGGCTGTGCAATGACTCCCACTGCCCACTCAGTCACCTCTGAGGCTCCTGTCTGAAATTGCAGATGGCTCTGGAGGTTTTTAGAAGAACAAAACAGGTATATTTCTATTGGACTGCCTGATACAGAAGATAGTGTGGTATGATGGATGGATAGTATAAGTGACAAATAATATTTGTCATTTGTATTAACATTTGAGATAATATATTATCTGTCACTTGTATTTAATAATAATATTAAGTACAAATATATTTTATTTGAAATAAAATATGCTAAAACAGCTTTCACTTAGAAACAAACTCTTGCATGATTGTATTACTGAGCAAAAACAAAGCTGAGGCAGACATAAACACCCTAATTATTATTAAACATGTATCTGAGATAGGAAGACACTACTTGTTTTTTTTTTTTTTGAAACTGACCTCCCTTAAGGCATGTTCACTGAAGTGTGAACAATGTCAATGAATCCACCATTATCCGTTGTCCTGTCATATCTCTGTCACCTGTATTCTGTGATCACACATTTACCTGCCATTATACCTGGGCAGGGTTACTCTATCACAGTTACTTTTGAATTTTTGGCAAACAGAACTATGGAAGAGTAATTTGGAATGAGTTTTATATCTTCTTTAGAAAGCTTTAGTACTCCCATAAATAAAAGGTTATAATCAAGAGATACTACATGGAAGTTACTCTTTTCACTCTGGTTCAGTTTTAGTTTTTGTGATTTATTTATTTACTCATTTGGTACAGGGTCTTGCTACACAGCTCAGACTCATTGGGAGCCTGTCTCTGATCCTCCTCCCTAGTGCTGGGGTTACAGGGATATGCCACCATGCCTGGTTTTGGGGCTGGCATGACATGTGGTACCAGAGACTGAACCCAGGTTCTTGTGCTTGCCAGGCAGGCGCTCAGACTGCTGAGCTATCTCCCCAGTCCAGTTTTTGTGATTTATACAACTATTTCATTCATTTGCTTACAGTACAATCCTGCCACACAGTATTAAAGGACAAGATACGCATGATTCTTTCATGCATATCTAGGAGCCCTGCATTTTTCAAATTTTCTCATATCCCAGTGTGTCAGCAGTTCTTCACACACACACA